CTATTAAATTATCGTAAGCTTGCCGACCCAAATAATATTCACCAAATTAGGGATTGCCACCGTGACAAATTGTCCCACTTTGAATAATGTCTACGCGTAATTATTATCTGCACCTAAACTGCTTGATAAAATTATTTTTAATGTTTTAAAATAACTTGCTAGTTGTTTTCTGTTGTTTTTTTTTTTTTGTTTTTTTTTTTTTTGTTTTGTTTATAGATGAAAACTGTGACGATTGTTTTTTTTTTTTTTTTTTTTTTTTTTTTTTTTTTTTTTTTTTGTTTTGTTTATAGATGAAAACTGTGACGCCCTTCCTTTGAGGCCGCCACTGTTACTAACTTTTTAACTTGTACTTACTGGGGTTTCTTAAAATTTGCGGAACATTTTATTTTTTTAATATAAGAAAGAATACTTTCATAATTTGTAACAATAATTTCAAATAAGTGAATCACTAAATTTCTTAAAGCTTTTCTTAATTTCAGTTAAGATAAAACGTTCTAAAAATATCTTTCAAACAGAACAGCATTTGAACTCTTATTTCAAATGCTCTTTAAAAGCCTTTCTAAAACTAGCCAATTCAATCGGGCCATTTAATTTTGACTTTAAAACGGATTTCGTGAGAAATCTTAAATTCAAGTACATCTTAAAGCCCTTTTAAAATCAATCATTTAAATCGTCATGTTTAAAATTTATTTATTTGTTGCATGCTCTGTTGCAACGTTCTAAAACTTAAATACTCAAAACGAGAGTTGTTAGCTACAACCTCGGTTTCCTTAACATACATATGTACCTATACTTTTTAAACATACATGCTTGAAACCTTTAAATCATATATACATATACATAATTTTTCTTAAACTTACTGCGGAAGATAACTGCGTGAGCGGTATCCATTCCCATCTCCACCATTCGTCCGCCGCTTGCCATTGCCCTTCAAGAATTGCTGATAGGTTTCTTACCTACAGCATGAACATATCTGATTGAGCTTTCGCTCAGCAAGTAGGAACTATATCTCACAAAATAACTGTAAGTACACATGAATAAATATGCATGAGCTGATTATGCTTAATTATGATGTCTTATCATAATCTTATTATCTTATCTTATCTTTCTTACTGATGGGCCCGAGTGCTCGCGTACCACTTGCGCGCAATCATCGGAACGTGAGGGTTTGCAAGGTCCCCCACGACACCGTGATTATAACTTGAATGCCTCCCTTAAGTCGGAGGACATTATTGTTATTTTCTTTTTCTCCCTTGTGGAGCATGAGTTACCTCCCTTGTGGAGGCTGGTACGGCACTCAACTGATATTATTCTTATAAGTTCCTCTTGACTTATTAAGGTGTATGCAATATGACATAGCAAAGCATACTATAACATAGAATGTACTCAAATACATATACTTCATGTGCACTGCTTAAGTGTATGCAGTATGATCTAGCATAGTATACATAACATTAAATTAACTCAAGCACATATAATTCATGTGTGCTGCTTATGTGTATGCAGCATGACATAGCATCGCATACAATACTTAAAGCATAAACATGCATATATAACATGTGTAACTTTTCCTTTAAAATCTATTCATACTGTAGGCGAGATTCCTACTTAC